ATGGTGTTGATGCCCTGCTTTGACATTAAAATACAATGAGGGGTATTTATCAAAACTGGAGCAGAAAAAACCTGGAGCAGCTGTGCATGGCAACCAATCAGCCTCTCTCTTTCATTTTCAAATCTTAACTGAACAAACTGAAGAGAGAAGCTGATTGGTTGTCATCCACGACTGCTCCAAATTTTGACTGCTCCAGTTTTGATAAATTCTCCTCAATACAATAATAGATCCTGCAGTATATTGTTGAAAGTACATAGTATACAGCTGTCCTTTAAGTGTATTTCCACTTACATAGCCAAATTGGACTAACACCTATTTTATATATGTTACTTGTTCCCATTCCTATAGCATAAGCTAAAAAAAAAATGCTTCTTTCAGTTTAAATTGCTTTTACTTGGGTTAGGGTTTTAAGGGTTACAATTTCTTCTCGCTTTTTTTTTTTTCTTTGAAATGTTAGTAGGGGCTGATGGGTCTGAGGTGGCTTGTCAAGCTTATCAGATAAACACAATCCTCAAATTTCACTCCCACGTCTTTCCATTAGGATAGATCACTGTGAAAGGGCTAAGAAAAACCTGGAATCAGCCATCTTGTCTGCTTTAACAAAACATCTGTAAGATAACAATTTTAAAAAAAAGTTATTTTTTAAGTATGCTGTGTTAATAGGAACACATAACGAAGATACAGGTGAAACTCGAATAATTAGAATATCGTGCAAAAGTAATTGCAGTAAGTGCTGCAAAAGGGGCCCAAACCAAGTACTGAGTACATATGCATGCTTGTACTTTTCAGAGGTCCGATATTGTTCTATGTACAATCCTTGTTTTATTGATTGCATGTAATAATCTACTTTTTTGAGGTTGTGGATTTGGGGTTCTTGGGGTTTTCAAGAGCTGTAAGCCATAATCATCACAATTATGACAAATCACAGCTTGAATTATCTTGCTTTGCATGTAATGAGTCTATCTCATATATTAGTTTCACCTTTTAAGTTGCATTAGTGAAATAAATGAACTTTGCACGATATTCTAATTATTCGAGTTTCACCTGTATAGAAGACTTTTCTTAAATTTGACTTCAAAAGTGGAAATACACTTTAACCACTTGCTGACCGGGCCATTTTTCAGTGTTCAGCGCTGTGGTACTTCAACTGAAGTTTATTATGTCATGCAGCGCTGTACTGAAACAAATTTTATACCATTTTTTTGGGGACAGATAGAGCTTTCTTTTGGTGGTATTTAATCACCACTGGGGTTTTTATTTTTTACTATACAACAAAAAAGTACCGAATATTTTTTTTTAAAAAACGGTTTTCCCTTTATTATTTTAGGAAACATTTATTTTTACCCGCGGGGTAAAGCGGGCACGAAGGACATCTACAGACGCCCACCTGCATCCAGGAGACTCCCGTTCGGCCGTCGTTTGGTGGACGGGAAGTGGTTAAGTCTTTTAGAGAGCCCTGGCTGTGTACTGCCACCATGGCTTGCTTGTTCCTTATGACATGTGTAAACCTTTTATTTATTTATTCTAGTTATAGGTGGAACTTGAGGTGGAACAGAGTCAGCCTCTGGTCTTTTATATGATTTGGAAACCCCAACAACAGGATCCGCCTGACACGATTTCTGACCCTGTTCTTGTCTACCAGGGAATTCTGGATTTTCGTTCCCAAATTTTAGCATTCAAGCATCTCCTGTTGCATTCTCCATTATACAAAATACATTAAAAAAACATAGAAAGAGAAGGAAACCTTCAAACCAATACAGTCCACAAAAGATATAAAACAATTGTCAGGTGGTTGAATTATTTTATCTACCAAACACTGACATAACAGTTTTATGTGGACTGGGCCATAACCAAACAACTTCGTAAACAATGTCATAAACTTTTAAACAAACAATTTAAACAAACAATCAAGATCACTAAAGGAAAACTATGTGAACACATACTGTATACTCAGCAGTTAGTCAAACCATTTTATGAATAAATTAAAAATCGCAAAATGGCCAGAAAGCAGATATTCTTGACCATTCCTGTCCCACGCTATTGCAGTCCATTTATGTGTTTTGAAATCCTGCTCTAGATCAAGCCCAGTATTTAACCAAGTCATGAATATTAAGACTAAAGCCATACATTTCTTCTGATTCTGACGCTTTTGTTAAATTATTTCTACATTTTGGATCATTGCCATGTTGCACCCAATAGCTTTTACATTTACCACATACAGATGTCCTGACATTCTGCAGTAAAATTTATTGACACAACATGGAATTTATTGGTCCCCAAAGGAGAAGGGATGACTATTAGTGTTAGTATTCACAGAAGGGATGACTATAAGTCTTTGTATGCAAAGAAGAAGAAAAAAAAAGTGATGCTGCATGTATCACTTTTGCCAGTCAGTGCACTTCCTGAAGTCATTTAGAGATTCATTTTTGTTGTTTATGTTAGGGCAGTATGATCTAAATATTCTGCACCCAGTCCTAAGCTTTATGTAATCCTAATACAGGCAAAACCTACTACTGTATTTTCATTGTTTTATCTATACAATATTAATCTGTTTTATATCTTTGGAACAAGGAATATAAGTCCTTCTGGCAAGGGAAGGAGGGTTGCTTTTTATAAGAAAAAACAACAACCCTGCAGCCTATAGTATTCACTTGGAGACACGGAGTAAAATTGATTTTACTTTTTACCCCCTGCCTAATACTTTGTGGAGTTCGAAGGAGTACAGTTGGGGTGTGGCTCAGACTTGATGAGCGACTAAACATCTATCAATCTTTAGACTTCACATCTTCCAATTGCCTCAGCAAACACAACTACAATATTTCTATTTTGACAAGTTCCTGATTAACTGAAAATGTTAGCTAGCAAAATATTCTTATGTCAAGCACTCTAGAATTTATTGGCAAAATACAAATCCAAAATTATCAAAATCTTTTTAATTGGTGAAGGGTGTTTTACATGAGAACATTCTTGTGGCCCAAATCAAACACAAAGCTTACAGCAATCATTAATTCCAATTACTTAGTGCAGTTTAAAATGCAAAGTGGAATCTAGAGTTTTGTTGCTGGCAATACAAAAATATGTCTAATAGAAAAGCGTTGATAAATGAGTTTTAATATTTCAATCCCTCAACTCTGTACCAAAAAAGGGGAGCACACAGCAACACATTATCTTTCTGAATAGAGGGTATATGTAGCATTATATTCTTTGCTACCAAACCCAGAGAGAACATGCTTGAAAGTACTTCTCTAACCAGAAAGTGCTTTCTGAACTCCATTTTCTAAACTTCTTTTACCAACTTTCTATGTCAAATAAATGATGTCCTGAAGCAGCATTAATGAACAAATAAATGACATCAATTTTCAGTTAGGGAAAAAATCCAACTATGTCAATAAAAGGAAGCTAGAAATTTGTTCTGTAAGAAAACAACTTTTAAGATACATTTTTCCTATATATCTTTTTTCCTTTTGTTAGGTCACCTACAATGCGTGTGTGTATGTGTATGTGTTAACAAACTAAATAATAGTGATCGCATTTATTCCTTTACATGACACGAGTAAAATAATATTCTCAGGTTTTCTTCCCAGACTATGTCTACTTTGAACATGCCTTGTACTAAAGGTTATAGAAATACAGGGTGTTGATCCAAAACAGAGCTACGAAAGATACTTTGGTGGAAAAAAATCCTTATTTCACACGTTCAAAGGGTTAGTTTAGTGAATATTGTTTGCTTTTCTTTTTGGTTGACAGGGCATATTTACCTACAGGCTGACTTATAACCAGTCTGTGGGTGCCAGATTGTCCCCATGGCACAGTTCTTATATTGTGAAGGTCTACTTAGTGAAACATTGGTTGTTAAAGAAGGATTTACCATGGAAACAGAGAAAACAGGTAACTGTATTTACTTGGCTTTGTGATAGGTGAAATCTCCCTAGCAGGGTGCTCATTAGATGATGGTGTTTAATTAAACATGTAAAACTCCAAAAAAGGATGAACAGTGCCGAGTCTTTATTACCAAAACAGCAGCAAAGAAGAAATTAATCTTCTGGTCTCTCAACATTAGCCTATAATAAAGACATTAGGGCAGTAAAAAAATGAAAAAGAAACACATATATTTACAGAATAATAATAAGATAGCTACTAAAGTCTAGAACACGGATAGATGAATTGGTACTTAGCCATTTATGATAGCAGACAGAGTATTCATTTATATCAGCTTGCATTAAGAGGAAGTAAATATGCTACTCATACAGGCACAATAAAGTAAAACTCTTACTCTACTGAAATTTTTTTTTAAAGGGTTTAATGAAGACACAATATATGTGTATACATATAAAACACCTCTCATTGAAGCAGTGAATTCCTAACCAAAGTTTGTGACCTTTAGAAGTAGTTTCAAAATTAAATGTCAACAGAAAACAATCACTCTACCTCTGATGCCTTCATCATACACTTACTATACACAAAACCAAACACTCACACATATAAGTAAATTAAGCACCAGAAATAGTTGATCCAGGGAATATCAGATTGCCTTATGGGATCACGAAGGAATTTTTTCCCCCCTGTTGGAGCAAATTGAACCATGCTTTATAGGGTTTTTTTTGCCTTCCTCTGGATCAACAGGCGGTAATTTGGGCCATAGCATTCTGTTTAGGCATTTCTTCCTTTTTTTTTCATATCTCTATAGGTTGAACTCGATGGACTTGTGTCTTTTTTCAACCTGCCTAACTATGTAAAAAATGGAAAATCTATTTTGGAGACAACCAAGGTGGTATAGAGGGGATCTTCTCTTACTTTCTGCTGTGTCTCTGGGAAAGGAAACTGAAAATCTCCCTGATGTCACATAGAAACAAAAACTGAAAGGGGTCTTAACTATTCCATGCCAAAATAAAACAAATCATATCCCAAATATTTTAAAAAGCATTGTTTAAGAACTTGCGAAAGCAGTACAGCTGTCATTAATATTTATAGAAACAATATATTTTTAAGCTGTCACCTACCAGTTATGGACCATCAGTTTCTGCACAGCCAGCAAAGCATTGTATCGGACCTGTTGGTCTTCATGATGCATGTGGTTCATTACCAGTTGCTTCCCACCCAACTGCTCAATCACCCTGCAAGAAAGGGTTGGCATATTGATTAGCCTGCTTATACAATTAATCTTACCGTGAGACTCGGAGAGAGAACTATTAAAAAAAGCTATTCAAAACAATTGTTTGCAAAATATGATTGCCTTGAATCACAGGTTTTGTTAGCTGGGTAGATGAAGAAATAGAATTTAATTTCTAATAATCGATTTCAGCAAATGTGATTACAAGCCTAAAATAAAAATAAGATTTTTAGCTATTGCCAGATATGCATTTCTGCACAACAGCTCTTCCTGAGCAAATGTAATCTGTTTTTGGCTACTCAAATTACAGGCTGATAATGAGAAGGAGCAAGCTAAAGGCAAAAAAAGCTTATACTTACAAAAACTATAGTGAACAAAAAAAATAAAAAAAATAAAACACAGTATCAATTTTTAGAGAATATCACCTCTGCATGAGTACTGCTTCTAAAGAAAATCTCTAGCATGCATCACAATATGTAAACCAACATTTGTGCAATATGTTTGTAACTACTATTGCCAATTAATTGATGGCACTAGCTATCTCCAAGTTATTATAGTTACTGACTTATTTAGTCGTTGCTCTGAGATGTGGCACACCTGTCCTCAGAGAAAAATGTGTGCTGCCAATGCTAACTTCTTTCAAGAAATACAAGTTTTCTGGATGGCATGCTGATACAGTCGATGCTTCTTGAGTTACTTATATACCAATAAGAATGATAAATTCTTCTAAACTATCATTTGCTGAGGACTGAATCAGTGATTTAGAAGTACTGAAGCCAGACACTATGCATTTTAAGGGTGGGTGCACACCAGATGCAATGGCAAATTGCCTTGTCTTGCTGAGATGGAAAAAATGGCCAGTGCAGCGCCAGTGTGAGACAAGGTAATATGCCTTGTTACGGATGGGCCGGTTTCCCACAAATAGTACTTTTTCAGTGCAGATGCAACGCAGTACAACCATCTCTAAACACGCTGAGCGTGCCCGTGGAACTCGATGAAATGTCACTTGTGACATTTCAATAAAGTTTTTTTTTTCTTTAAAGTAAACAGTGCGATGTGCCAGGATCAGCGCATCAGCTGCTGTGCAAGGGCTCTTACACTTAACCTAGCTCTTGAAAGTTAACCCCTAACCTAACCCTGAAAATGAATCCTCAACAGTCAACCAAATGCTAACACTTAACAAAATGCACAGAAGTGACCGTCTGACAATATAAAACACCAACAGATAACCTAATCCTAACAACCTGTCCAACTAGCCTTAACCTAACCCATACATCTATGTATAACTACTTATAAACCCCTAAGCCCCTCCCTAAGGCTAATTTACCACAAAGTATCACCTGAACTACTGGTTCAATACTTAGCAGCTGAAAAGTTGAGTGTGCCCCCAGTTGTACATGTCCCCATACTGCAAAATACCAAGCCATAGTCTCAAAATAATTATTTTTCCAATTTAAGTTTTAACATTTTGATTAGTCAACATCATTTAGTTTATCATATTAATCTTTTTATGAGTTTATGGTACTTAGTCTGTATAAAGCGGATAACATGAAACAGTTAGTCTTATAACAATAGAGTCTTCAGTGATAGAAAGAAGCTATAGAATAACAGAAAGCTGGGGGACCTTGTAGAAATGTACAGGAACACAACTAAAGCTGGCGATGGTAGAAGAAAAGAGAAACTGCTGAATAGCTGAAGAAAAAGAAAGCAATGCAGTGAAGTAAAGTTTGGAAGAAGCCCAAAGCAAATTAAAAAAAGATGACAGCAAAGTCACAAACAATAACTCCTCTGAAAACAAAATTGCCAAGAAAACCTAAGGTTGGCCATACACCTGTCAATTTTTTTTGTTCAACCCACGGGCTGAACGAAAGAAATTGATGCGATTCCTCCATCAACATAAACAGCACGTCGAATGAGGAATCGCCGCTGTTTGCATTGTATTCTGAAAAGTGCTGCCGACACCTATCAGAATAGCCGATCAGAGCAGGCAGCCCATTGGCTGCCAGCTCTGATCGCACAAAGATTTTCCAGCAGGCTCCTCGATCAGATGATCAAGGAATGCCGGCTGTAAGGGAGCCGACAGCCCCACACACTGTGCGAATTTCAGGCGGTACAGTAAAAACCAACCAAAATTTGGCCAGTGAATGGGCACCTTTACACAAATATACGCAATTTCCTGACAATTTAAATCACAAAAACAATCAAATAGATCAAGGCAACCTACCAGCAACAACTTATATATTTATATCTACAGTAAAGGGCATGCATAGTAGTAGGTTGAACTGATCCATTCCACAGTTCTTGTGATGAAGAGGGTTGAAATTGCCAGGAAGTTATCATGTGAATGGCAAGAATGAGTGCCTGTGCTGATGGGCTTTTGTCCGCGTCAAATGGATTTGCATTTCCATACCAGTCGATGGAAATGCGAAACCTGCTTGAAGCAGGTCAGAAGGTCAACTGCACCTGTTTTTGGATTATTTCAGGAGCAGCATGTATATGAATAGTGAATGTATTTTGTATGGAGATGTACTGTATATAGTTGGCATAGTATCATTTAAAGCGGCAGTAAACCATGCATACCACTGACAGAAAAAGTCAGTCCCTCAGTCACAAAAGTTTACAAACTTTAAATAAACACAATATACACAAATATTGGGAAGCATTCTTTTGTTTTTGGTTGTAGACGTGCGTCATCCCTAGAACTCGCACATGTGCAGACCAAAGTGAACCAAGCCTCACTTTGAATTTCAAGTTGTCATGGTGCTGTGACATGTTATCAACGACACTGCTCATCCCCTTGGTAATTTGAGGAGACAGATGAGAATGTATGCAGAAGGGAAAACTGGCTTCCACATATACTATCCTCATAACATGCAAACAGTCAAAAAAGGAGACGGCACAACAGGAAAAGTTTCATTGGCCCAATGATGTCGCTAGTAACATGGGGTTTCAGGAAGGGCAGAGGACATCACAAGAGGAAGAGCCTTGCAGGTGAAAGAAGAAGACATAATCCGGTCAATGCACTCTGCAGAACTCAACATGGCCAGTAGGCCAGAAATTAGAATAGAATTGCAAATGCATCACAACGGCAGAATGCAGCAATATAAGGGGAATGGTATAGAGGATTTGTATACAGACTACCACAAGTGTGTGCTATCTATTGGATGATGGTGTACAGTTGCAAAGTTGAGATTACTTATGCTTTAAATCAAAACTATTTCAATAATCCACTCAATAAAAGCTATGACAAATGAAACTGTAAATTACTGGTGCCTGAACATGCCTTTTTCCTCTGGGGTAGTGTCGTACATACTCTCCTACGTCATGGGCAGCCACGGCAAGAACTTGAGGGTCATCAGAGACTTCCAAAAGTTTTGTTAGGATTCTGTAAAAAATAAAAAGGATAGGTCAGACAAGCAAGGATTTACACATGAGTAATGGCATATGTGACCTTTACAATTTAACAGACATGTACAAAAGTAACCTTTTCTTCACACAGCAGCTTAGGAAACCAAATCTATCAATTTGAGCGTGTAAAGCAAGACATATTTATCAACGTTTAATACCAAGATAAATGTTTTTATGACAACAAAAGACTTCAGGTCTGTAGGAACTACTCATTTCTGATCTCTTAGACATTGTAATTATTTAAAACGATTGACCCATTGCCCCCAGCTAGTTGTTCTTAGCTACTTCTGTTGTTCTTGTTATGGTTCCTTTGATATCTTTATGTCTAAACACCTGCTGCACTATACACTTTTCATAAACAAGATGGCATGCAAAGATAAAATCACATTTATATAATGTTCTGAACTAATTTTCAAATATGGCTCATTAACTGAAACCAGCTCAGGTCCTGCAACCTAGAGCTCCCGCCTGTTTCCCTTGAGCGCTGTATTTTGGTACATTGTCCTTATAACCCTGCAACCTAGAGCACAAATGATCAGTCACTTTAAATGAAAGGTCCCTGAGACAAGACGAGATGGAGTCTCTTGATCTAGCCAATCTTGAATAGAGTGGGTAGTTATTACATATATGGGTACCAATCAACAACACCAAATAGGGGAATAATCTATTGATCTGGTTAGAAATTAGGATGTTAATCATGGTTGTTCCCCAGGTTAGCTGTGCTGGTTGAGCTTGATCCCTCTACTCCATTGAATTAACATACATAACTGGGCAATGTGAACATGAATGTTGGCCAGCTCACACATACTGTATATTTTTAAAGAAGAGCTCTGGGCAGAAGAAAACTTAAGGCTACCTGTGCACTGTAAGAGTTAAGTTCTCATTTTCATCTAGAGTCTAAAATAACAAAGAAATACTCATCTGAACCTCCGACCTCTGTCATGTCTCCTACACTGCAGCAATGGAATGTCCCTCAGAATCTTCATGTCCAATACACTGTGTTGGACATGATGACTCATGGATTCACCAGATCGCTAAAAAGAGAGGCTGCTGGAACTGGTCTAGCCGCCAGCCGTGTCGAAGGTTCGGGTGAGTATTTTTGTTAATTTAGATCCTAGATGAAAACAAGCACTTAACCCTTGTAGTGTGGGGGTAGCTCTACTGCAAGGGTTAAAGTGATATTAAAGTAAAAAGGTTTTTAAGCTATTTCAAAAGTTGATAACATCAGCTACAATGGATGCTGCTTCTTGATGTTTAAAAGTTTTAGTTTCTTGTACAATCAGCTGGTCCCCTGAGCACTGGCCCTGATATCCTGTTTTAGGGTGTCTCCTTTGCCTTGCAGGGTCTTATGGAGCCACCCCTGTGTGTGTTATTAAGCTGTGTGTGTCTCCACAAACACAAAAGGCAGAGCAAGGCAAGGCATCCCTCTCCTCCCTGCTCTTCCATCCTCCCTTCTCCATGCTAGTAGGTCGACATCTACTGGAGACTGTGCTGTTGCTTGGGATCTTGTACTGCACAGGAAGATCCAGGAAGCAAAGTTGAGAGAGTTGGATTATGCTGTTTGGAAACATGAGGATTGCAAATGCTTGGACAAAAATGTAAATAGATACTTTGCTGACAAGTTATATTACTACAGAATACACAAAAACAATGACATGACAAATTTAACGACATAAGTTTAAATATGGAAAATAACAGAGAAAAAGCAACAAGGAAGATAAAGCACAGATAAAAGCATTTATTAATAAGTAAATCATTGTGTTTTTAGACTAATTAAATAATATTGATCTTATTGTTATAAACCCTTCACTTTATTTTGCAGTATCGCCATGCTCATAAACACTTTCTCATTCATAAAAATAAGTAACATTCCACTTGTGGTTTAAACCATGAGGGATTCTAGTACAAATAGTAGATATATCCAATGTACTTCTCTTCTGTACAACTACATAATTAAACTTCTGTTTGAAATTATCTGAACTTTTTCATTCCTGATATGCACATTGAGGAAACTTTTCTGTTCTGATACTCAACAAAATGTTTAGCAGCACTGGTGGGATTATTTTTCACATCAGTGTCTCATTGGGGAGATTCCCCTTACTCTGCATCTGATAGATACAACAGGAAGTGAGAGCAAGTTGCTCCAATGAGAGGGAAATCCTTTGTAATCAGCAGGGTCACTAGAACTAGTGTTCCCATTGGAAGATTTATCATCTATTCCTGTTCTGGAGAAATTTACAATTTATGATTTTCTTTCACTTTCACTGATAATAGTCACCAGGACACATAGATAGGGTAGAGGGTAGAGAAGGGCAGACACAGACAGCAATACAAATCTGACAGGTGTTTTTATCCCTCTCCACTATATCCAAAACTAAACAAAAAAGGTCTGGCATCAGTTGCAGTTTAACGTATTCTTCACCAAGGTATTTCTATTTTAATTCTCTGCCATATGCACCACTCAAAATCAATCCAAAAAACTATCATTCATCACATTTCAAAGTTTTCATCTGCTGTGCTAACCCTATGCAAACCTAATAAACTGTCTAATAGTATGTTTAGGGGGGCCCAAGTCTGCATGTAACAATGCATTACCTGAAATGGGTTTCATATATACTACTGTTTGAAACCATCTTTTCCACTCAGACTAACGCCCAAGTAGGAGATAACAGACTTATCTAGATGCCCAGTAAATCTAAGATTTCGATTATTATCCTTTAAATATCCCAAAAAAGGTGGCAAATCATCTGTTGCTTTTGTGGAAATAAATAACAAAGTTATCTATACATTGTGCAAAATATAATGTGTGATCTAAATGGGTTTCTAGCTCCAAAAATGTTCTTCTACCACCAATCTATTTATAGGTTAAATAAGGAGGGCGAGAGGGTAGCTTCCATAGCTGCCCCACACTTTTAAAGGTAGTGAAACAATTAAAATTTTTAATTGATTTAATAAATAATCTACCACATCAGCAATAAATTGTTAATGTGCTACATGATAGTGATAAGAGTCCAAGAAATATGTGGCTGTCATTACACAAAATGATGAGGAATGGAAGAGTATACACTCTGAAAGTCACAAGAAATTCAGATCATTCCACCTAAAATCTTTTCGTTTACTTAGATACTGTTTCATGTCTCACAAATAGCTGGGGAACATAGTCAGTAACTGATGATCCAGCAAGTGACTTTGTCTCACATTAAGAGGCCAGATTTCTGCCACAATGGGTCCCCTCAAGGGGTTTAACTCCATGTGAACTTGACTTAAATAATTGAATATGGGAATATTTGGATAATCAGGTATCACAATTTCTGCTTCTTTCTTAAGAGAAAGACAAGCATAAGAAGAGATCTTGAATCTAATGTTTATTTTATGTTTTTATAATACAGTATCTGACAAATTGATGCTTACTTTAAGAGCTCGTAGTTCTTCTCATTTAATCTTGCCGCATTCTCTCTCCAGAATTTCTCAGATTTGTGAACTGGGCTCCATTCCAGTCTTCCCGACTTCAGCTCAGAACTGTACTCATCAAATGAGCTGCATGGGGGATGAAAAGGAAGCCATTAAACTTTAACTGCTGCTGTTTAAGCGGTTTATAGATGGAAATAAATATATTGCCAGAGTGGCACCATACTGTACAGCCACAACTTCTATATCAATCAGTACATTTTGCAATGTAACACAACTGGTGATGTGAGGATATAAATATTTTTCAACCCTTAATGACTACAGGCTGAAGATCTACATCAAAGTAAACCGTGCAGGTATGCAAAATAACTGATAAAATACCCTCTTTAATTTGGGTAACTCTGGTGGTCCAAATGAATGCAGATGAGAATGTGCACACATCTAAGAGCACTACAACAAACATTGTAGCCAGGCTACATTTAGGGCTCCTTCACTCCATGTCAGTTGAGCTGCACTGATCTGTATAGATCAATATAGGCTTAACACATCTCTTAGCACATTAAAACAATTGTTTTAGACCATACATGTGTGATGGTGTGCGTGGCATAAAAATGCTGCATGTCTGAATTTTTATGTAGTGCAACTCACCCACTTGCATATGTCACTGTATCGCATTGAACTGCGGTACATAGAGCTGAATGAAATTACATTTCAATAAATTTAAAAAAGAAGAAAAATGTAAACAGTGTGATGTGATGTAACACGGCATCACACTACCCTAACACAATGTACACCAATGATACACAGAGCATAACGCACCCCAACTGGTGTGAACGAGCCCGTAAAGTATAGTTCCACTTTTGTAGACAAACATAATACACCTATATTATGTTTGTCATTTGTTCACATTCACACAGGATAATTAAAAAGATATATAAAAAATGCTACTTACATTTTGAAGTGCTTTGTACTTGTGTAAAAATTCTACCACTTCCTTAACAGGTAATGTTAAAGGAGAACTATGAGGCGAGTGATTTTCATTCAACCTCATAGTTTGAGCCGACATTTGGGACAATGAAACTGTCACACGTCGGCTCAATAGATCGGGAAGTGAGTGAACACATACCGTCACTCGCTCACTTCTTGATCCTGTCCCTGGAGAGCCATGACTGTCTCTCACGGCTCCCTGCAGTGTGATCCCCCCCCTACCCAGCTCCGATCCTCCAGCACTGACTGGAGGAACGAACGGGGGAGGGGCGGGTACAGCTGGAACTGCCTCTAGATAGGCAGAGCCAGCTGTCAATCACGCAGCTGGGTGGATCTCGACAGTAATGTCGGGATCCGTCCCGGCTGCGGCGGTCTCAGTATACCGCGAGCTGTAGCTTTGGGTCACGGGAAGACGCTAGTTTATGTCATCTTGTGACCCTGAGGAGAACTATGGGGAAAAACACTTACCCCAAGACTTCCTGAGGTGTTTCCCTTTCTAAAACTCTAAAGTTGTGTGGAATAGTGGTGTAGTATAGTGGTGTGTCTATCTGCAAGTTTGTGGAGGAACACTAGGGGAGAAGGGGCAGGAGGCTCTGTCAGGCAGGCTGTACAGGCCACCATGTTTTCTATCGGTGACCCTGTCTGGCACTCTCAATTGCTTTGGAACATTTTTTGGCATGCTACACTTAAAAGGTTGCCTGCCCCTGGCCTATATTATACAGGGTCTAAATAGCATTGCTCTCCAATTGTAACTTATTAACTTTTTCTTGTTCCTAAAGCTAGGAGAACTGCTAATTTGTAAGTTGACCTCCCAAACCAGGAAACCAGGATTATGTGGCGTGTTTGACTGCTTTGCATCAAGATCACTGGGAGACAGAGGAAGCTACCACTGAGCTAGAACACGCTGAGTGGGTTTACACACAGATCCTAACCAGTTTTTTTTATTATTTAATTTTTCATGCGATTTGTGTCTTTTTCTCAGAAGCAGTTGCTATTTTCCGATAGTATACCAAGTTTAAATGTAAAAAGTGCTTGGCATCAAATGTTTGACATTATAGCCCTGGCATTTTTGCCTGTAACAACCTGTACCTTGCCCAACCATAGTAAAGTAAAAAGCTCAGGAGGTTTGTATCTACCTTTCACATGCTTTCCTGCTTCCTTCCTGTCAACTTCCCCAAATATATGCATTGTGGGTAAGCTTGGAGCTTACATATCAGTCAGTACCCTGCTTTCTCTAACGTTTGACAACCAATCAAACGCATGCCTCAACAGGCATGCTATGTAATAAAGACGAATATTAGGAAAATTAGCCAACCCCCCCCCCCCCCCCGCCCCGTCGTGCTCCCCTAAATTTTTTTAGAT